ATGCAATACATAAAAAAAACTGTTTAAAAAACAACTACAAAATTAAGTTAGCCATACATTTAAAATGTGCTTGTGGTTTTGCTTGTACTATCTCAGCACAGATATACCAATGCAAGCTATAGTATTTTTAAAGAGTAATTTTTAATACGAACAATACAAAAAGTACTTTATTTTTTTTTTGTACAATGGTGTTATAGTAGAAAATTGTAGAAAATGTAATTTAGAAAAAAATATTATTTCTGAAAGCTGAGAAAATGGAACATTGTACTAACATAAATGCCGTAGTTATTATGACCAATTATTAAAAAGGAAACATTGCGCTATTGGTAATGGACATTATTCCTAGATTATCACATCTAATAAAATCTGAGTGACTGAGTTATAAATGAAACAGCTAAAGAAAAGTCTTTAACATCTTGCAATGCACAATGAGAACAAGATGAATATAATTTAGTCCGACTACGAAATAGTGTAGGACTTATACTGTTCAGCTGACTGTTACCAGCTGAGCTGTTTGCAGGCTCACAGATCTACATCTGCTCTTGTATCTTCATATGGAAGAAGTCTATGTCTTTGAAGAAAAGCGTATTCACTGAATAAAAACATAATTATGTTAGTATTTTTGTTAATAACAAAGACAGCTGCAAGTTCTATGTATAGGTGTTTGCATTTAGTAGGTTTTACATCATCAGACCCTCAGTTATGTTTTTAGTTCATGGATTATTTAGTTTGAAAGGCTGCTTCTAAAATCTTACATGTATTCCTGTGCTTTTTTCTTGAATATTACTGTGCTGTGAGGGGGTTGTGTGTAATAAGTTAGTTAGCGTGTCCCTCTCTGTTTGGGGAGGCTTCATAAGCATTACTGTACAGAGTAAAAAAGTCACCAGAGAGAAGCAAGTTTCTCCCTGCCCCCTTCTCCTGTGCTGTCCTTCCAGGAAAGACCTAAAAGGACTGAGGAAATGGATTGAGGAATTTTTCATTTCCTCTCATGAAGTATATTGCACTGGTGAGAAACGCACACTTTACTATCTCTGCTCTCTTTTTTATGTTAGCATAAATCAAGAGGTAATCAGTAAAGTTTTGCAGTTATGTAAGATTAGTATGACTGATTGAGGAGTCAGGCCTTACATCTCTATGAAGTACTTCAGATCCATTTTATAAACAGTTATTCCAAGTTATAAATGTTTATACAAAACAGTAAAATATACAACCTTAAAATTATTGATCCAGTTTATAAATTTACTTGATTATCCAAATTTATCCCAATCTCTATTTGATGACACATAGAGTGTAATTATGACAGAAGAATTTTCTAGAACTTAACATTGCATCCTGTCCCAAAATGTCTCAGGAAAACAAACAAACAAAAAACCACAAACAAACAAACATCCACACTCACTTCCACCCCCCTGCCATGGGAAGGAACACTGTCCAACAGACCAGGTTGCTCAAAGCCCCATCTAACCTGGCCTTCAACACTTCCAGGGATGGGACATCCACAACTTCTCTGGAAAGCCTGTTCCACTGCCTCACCACCCTCAGAGTAAAGAATTTCATCCTTATATCTAATCTAAATCTACACAGTTTTAGTTTAAAACCATTACTTGTCCTATCACTATATTCCCTGACAAAGAGACCCTTTCCTGCTTTCCTGTAGGCCCCCTTAAGGAACTGGCAAGCCACTATAAGGTCACCCCAGAGCCTTCTCTTCTCCAGGCTGAACAACCCCAACTTCTTCAGCCTGCTCTCATAGAGGAGGTGCTCCAGCCTTTTGATCATTCTTGTGGCTTTCTGCTGGACTCCCCCTAATAGGTCCATGTCCTTATATTGCTGTTCTCAGAGCTGAATGAAGTATTCCAGGTGGGGTCTCACAAGAACAGAGTAGGGGGCAATGAACATGGCAGACTGAATATTGTGTTTTCTTAAATTCATTATAAAAACTCCTCTTTGTTATTGACTTAGAATGTAGAATGCGAAAAAGGTGATAGTCTGGTGTACAGAGGATAAAGAAAACGGACTTCACATAATATATACCATATCCTGGTTTTGTACTGCAAATGTCACTGTCACTTAGGCTGAAATTTTGGAACATAACAAACTGAGAAATAAGAACACTACGAATAAAACAGCCTTACTGCCTGAAGTAAAATTTTGCAGAAATTAAAGTCATGGTCAAGAAGACCTAGAAAAAATCTTACCACAGAATCACAGTATGGTTGAGGTTGGAAGGATTCTCTGGAGCATATCTGCCCCAAAGCCCCTGCTCAAGCAGGGCAGCTTGCCAAGGACCATGTCAAGATGTTTTTTGAAGATCTCCAAGTAATGAGACTCCATCCCTCCGGGCAATCTGTGCCTGTGTTCTGTCACCCTCACACGAAAGTGTTTCCTATTGCACTGGGTTTACATGAAAAGGTTGTGGTAGCAAGGAGCTGCAGGGGTGGCTTGTGTGAGAAGAATTCAGAACCTGCTCCATGTTCAATAAGGACCTGTTTCAGCCAGCTCCAAAAGGGACATGCTGCTGCCCAGAGCTGAGCTGATAAGCTGTATTGTTTACACCTCTGGAAGTGCAGATTTATGAAACAGGAAAAAACTGCTGTGCCACAGCAGCTGGGAGAGCAAGGAGTGAGAACCAGCCCTGAGGATACCAAAGTCAGTGCAGCAGGAGGACAGGAGGTGCTCCAGGCAGGCAGCAGAAATTCCCCTGTAGCCTGTGGAGAGGCCCCTAGTGGAGCAGGCTGTCCCCCTGCAGGCCATGGGTCCCACATGGAGCAGATCTCCACGCTGTAGCCTGTAGAGGAGCCCCCGGTGGAGCAGGTGGCTGTGGCCTGGAGGAGGCTGCAGCCCATGGAGAACCCCCACAGGAGCAGGCCCCAGGCCAGAGTTGCAGCCCATGGAGAGGAGCCCACGCAGGAGCAGAGGATCTGGGAAGAGCTGGAGCAGTTTGCTCCTGATAGATGGACCCGGTGGTATGGACCCATATCTAGAGCAGTTCTTGAAGAGCTGCTGCCTGTGGGAAGCCCACACAGGATCAGTTTAGGAAGGACAGCATCCTGTGGGAGGGATGCCATGTTAGAGCAGGGGCAGAGAGTTACCATAAAGGATCAGCAGAGACAAAGCTTCATGGACTGACTGCAGGCCCCATTCCCTGTTCCCCTGTGCCAATTGGGGTGAGGAGGTAGATGAGGGTGTATGAGGGAGAAGATGGTTTTAGTTTGTTTTCTTTGCTTCTCACTTCTGTAGCTTGTTAGCAATAGGTAATAGATTTCTCTAATTTCCCTACGCTGAGTCTGTTTTGTCCATGATGCTAATTCTTGAGTAATCTCCCTGTCCTTATCTCAACTCTTGAGCCCTTTTCATCGTATTTTCTCCCCCTTTCCCTTTGAGGAGGGGGAGTGAGAGAGCGGTTGTGGTGGAGCTCAGCTGTCCAGGTAAGTAAAACCACTGCACCTATGTTCAATTGGAACATCTTACATTCCAGTTTGTGCCCATTGCCTCTTGTCCTTGCTCTGGGTACTACCAAGCACCTGGTTCCATTGTCCTCGCACCCTGCCTTCATGTATTTATATACATAAGAAGCTTGTAGTTTATACAAGTTTATGACTGTTCTGAAATCAGAAAACTACTCCACACTCTTCCACAAACTTTGAAAAACAAAAAAATCCTGCTGAATTTAGAGAGACAACCTTAACTTTCTCTACTCTTTGAAATAGTTGACTTCCATTTTTCTTTGAGTTTTGAACCTATAGTTCTTCCCTTATTTAAAAGACCGAAAGATTCTCTTACTTGCAATGCAAATGCATTAATTTGTTCAGATAAGGGCATTTTGTTTAACTTTCATTTTATTTTATTAAAGTCCTGTGATTAAATATTTATCTTGTGTGGTTGCATAGATCTTGCTGACAGACCTAAGTGAACTAACATCTATTACAGAACTAACCTTGATCCTTTTAAGGGAACAATGGAATTACATTTTCTTGTACTCTCAACCTATTTTCAGATTGCTGCACTGTGTTTGTGAGAAACAAGAACTACCAAAACACAGATTGCGAACCAAATCCGTTCCTTTTTAAGTGTATGCTTTTATAAATGGTCCATTAAATAAAAACTCATAATAGAGTGAGCAAAATGGGTAACCTGCTCACAACCAAAATGTTAAAGGTATGGTTTAAACCAGAGTCATTCTGCTTTTGGATCTATTCCATTACTAAGCTTATCACACTGTGAAACATAGCTGTATAACATTTTATACTACATAAAAAGCATTAACCATTTTGAGGAATATCAGCAATGCAACTACTTTTTATTAGGACTACAGTCACAATTTTAGCCCAAATTATATTCACAAGTAACAGGAATGAAAGGAAATTATTGTCTACTCATCCAGTTTTCCACTGGTACAGGATTACTTCTTATTTCATGTTTGCTAACACTCTACTACATGAGAATAGCACCACATCATTCTGGCTTATTGACAAACTCTTTACTGATGTTTAATATTTGATTGATTACAGAGATTATAGCTACAATAGTTAATAATCTTTGTAGATAATAAAATTTGACTGGAATTTCACTTTTTATACTTTCCTTCACAAGATAAATAGTCTAAAAAAGTCTTAAAAATATTCATGTCTAAGGCCTATAGTACAAAGAACTGTGCTGAAACCAGTTATTTTATTTTATTTTATTTTTTATCATTTATGGTCACTTTTCCTTCCAACAAACAATAACACCTTGATGAACCTTACAGATTTATTTTCTTTCCCAGAAGAAAACAGTTTCAGGGAATCTAAGTTCCTGTTTCACTGCATTCACTGAACCTTGAAAAGAAATGATCACAGGTAACTCAGTCTGATTGTATCTACAGAAACTGTCTATATGTGACACAAAGGGAATCTGCTTGGCTGAAGTAATCATCCTGCTGATGCTCATTCTTTTTAAGTGTTTTAAAGCCATAACATTGAAGGGCCTCATCAGTTATTTTTGTTTTCATTACTTCTCAGGATTGCTTTAATGGTGCTATAGAGCTGAGAAGAGTTTTTGAAGATGGATTATCATGTTCAAAGGATAAGTGACAAGATCATGCTCAGGATAAGTGACAAGATCATGCTCAGGATAAAACAACTGCTTTTCTATTTCAGTATACTTTTTATTATTATTTATTAATGAATCTTACAACTTTGGAGATAATAGGCTAACTGTTCTTCAGTAATGCTACTCATAATCCAAAATCACTATTGGTTTGAATTGCTACCATCTCCATCCTGCTATAATATCTGATTTTTTTTTTTCCCTGTAATTACCAAAAATCGATTGTTGTGAGGATTTCCCAAGCAACACAGAATCTGTACGGGATAATTGTAAATGATCCATGAAACTGTAAGGACTTGGAGAAAATTAACTGATAACTGATGAGTTCTGCTCTAACAACATTTTAATGTACGGTAAACAGCTGAATCTCAGAACTTGTATACTTCGAGCTACTTTTCCTATTTTTTTTTTTTAAGCTAAAAACAAGTTCTTGAATAACATCTGCAAACGTGTGTCAGTCTTTACATGTGTTTAAAAATGTTTCATTTTTGTAGTGTATAGGGCTGGCTAAAGAACTGTTGCAATTCTATAAAATAGAAATAATAAATAAAAAAATGAAATAGTAAATAAGATTTGGAAAAACTGGGGAATCTCTAAGAAACATGTATATGAAAGACTTTCTCAGTGAGTTTCAGGTAGACTTCAAAACTGTATCTGGAAGCCAAATAATTAACAAACTAAAATCTCAGCTATTGAGAGATTAAATTATATTGTCAAACCACAGGAGACACCAGTATAAAAAGAGGCACTGATCTGCATCTATTTTCGACTCATTTTAGTGAACATTGTTGAAGTAAGAATATAGAAAAGATCAACAAAGTCTTCAATAATGCTAAGGGGGCATTAAAAAATCTAAATGTCATATGAATATAAGACAAGTAGACAACAAGGCAGGATTTAAAAAACAACAACAAGCAGAAAATATTGTTCAATAACAAGATGTGAAGCTAGTTTACCAAATTACAATTAAGCTAAAATAAAATTAAAAAAAAAATTAAAAAAAAAAAAAGAATGAACAAAATAGTATATGGCCCACATTCTTGACAAGTCTGAAAGCTCCTGAATTTATCCTTGAAATACTTATCAAAATTTGAACATTATTCCATGTTAGAACTTCTGCGGGCACAGTCCACTATAGGTGAAAATCAGTTCATGAAAATAAAGATGCATAAAGTCTTCAGTATGGTTAGACTAAAACAGCTGATTGAACATCTCAAGTAAATATATATATAAAAATATATTTGAAACAGAAGCAGTATGTACATTTGGTGCAATTATGAAGCATTCTCTTTTCAAAATGGGCTCCAGCTGTGATTCTATATAAGCCTGAAAGACAGGCAGCTGGTTTAAGAGCACAGTATACATAGGTCAGTATGGGGTTGTTATTCAGTGTTTGTTGCTAATAACTGTACAGAAGCCAAAGTGGAAAACCTGACTAACTGGATGTTATTCGAGATATCACATTATGAATAGATAGGCATATTAATTTTGTAAGTTCAATTGATAAAGAATTAAAATTAATACAAAAGAACAAGTAGTAGGTCCCTTTGGACTTCCTGTGTAAAAGAAAAGCTTTTGAGAAGTACACTGGGTTCATTAGACCAAAGAAAGCAACAGGGTGAGAGTCATATACACAGTGACAAGATATTAATTCTGAAATGATAATTACATTCAAAGTCAGTAGATCACAGAGGAACTGTGTAAACAAATCTGGTATGGTTCCCCTCTTTATAATAGCACTGTCGAGATTAGTTATTGGCAAAATTCAAAGGTTTAAAAGTTCAGCAGTGATTTGCATTCTAAATTTTAGAGGCTTACTTGAATATGTTTTAGCTTAAAGCTTTAGTGCAAAAATAAGGTGAATATTCTAGTAAGTGATTACCTTTCATTTCCTGGTCTCAGACATAATAGAAGAGCCAAAGTTACAATAATATCCATCCATCATATGCCAAGTGGTCACTTTTTAAAGAAGCCTGTTCTCATTCTCTTCAGCTAATCTTCATATGGCTCTCACCCAGCTTCCTCTGGCCATCAACAAAAAATATCCATTCTATTAATTTTCTCCATCTTCTTGTCTTTCAGGAGGTTAAGAAAAATATTTGATGTTCTTTATAGAATTCCACTGAATATAAGCTTAAGTCTCAGCTCTCTGATCCATAGAATACTTTGGTAGTCAAGGAAATTAGTTCTTACTTTGACAGAAGAGACTCCTTTGCAACTAGTCAGAAAAACAGTGAAATCATGTAATTTTTTTTTTCTTTCTACAAGACAAATCATATGCAGAGCAAGTCCCAAAATAAACTTTTATCAATCCATCAACATTAGTGAAACTGCAACTTAGTTCCACAGCTTAACACCAACTAGTGTGTCACTATGTGATTCATACCTAATTACTATTTTAAGTTATTATCATTATTGATGAGAAAAATATGGCCAGAAGTTCTGGCTCACGTAGTAAATATCATTTATGACCAAGACATGCAGAATGCTTTCCAGAGTTATGAGGAGAGAAGGAACTCCATACTAGAGAATAATAAAGCAAGGCATCTGGATTACCTTGCAATGTCCTCAGTAGGACTTGGTCTTTTCAAAATGCTACACTAGGATTTTTACATAATATTACACTTCCTGACATCAGATCATTGCCACAGCAGGACAGACACTGTTGTGCACTGCCCTGCTACACTTGAGCAAGCGTGTCGTAGTAGCCACAAACTGACCATTCTTGGACCAACTGAGGTGAGGAAATATTGTTGAGACATAATGATATGTACCAATTTCTAGCAAAACTTGAGGTTTTACTGGGAATTAAAGTAACAATAAGATTCCAAAACTCTGACAATTTTCCCATAGTCCAGAAAATATCCTTTTGTTTAAAACAGTAAAGGAGACTCAAGAAGAAAAAAAAATGACAGTGAATATTTTACGGTAGGGTTGATATATATGAGCAGCAAAATGTTTGGTGCTTTGGGCCAATTAAAAATATTCAAGTTTGTTCAACTGGTAAAAAATAAACTGAAGTAGAAAACGAATGATAAGAATGGGATATTTCACTTCTAAAAATTAACACTCTTGCAGGCATAGACATATTTTACTTTCACACTGATGCACTGCACCAGTAGCTTCCAGCAGCAAATGACAGAGTATATCTCATACAAAAATAAAACCTCTACACTTCAACCATTTCTTTAAAAGAGCCTGTATAAATATTACACCATTGTAAATTCAACAGTTATCAAGACAGCACCAGATGTAGATTTATCCTAGAGGATTTTATGTGTTTTGCAGCACTATGTCTCATAAAAACTGCAATAAATATGCTAATTTTTAATGTCTTCATACTTTAGTTTCATGTGTTATCAACTTATAAAACAAAGATTAAATGTATATGGATATTATACTCTTGGATATTGCTTTCAGAAGTGTTGTAATAAGATGAATATCAAGATTAATATTTCAGTAACAGGTGAACAATTATTTTTTATTTGATATTTGGAATGGTCAAGTCCTTGGTCACTAGATGCTATTACCAAGACATTCCTGGAATTAGTTTGATATCATGGTTTCACCTTCACTTTAATCTTTTGGCAATAGTTGTTCTGGTTCTTCTGTATTTTTTCAGTTTTCATTTTCAGTTTGCATGAAGGCATGTGACATTCATGCTTAACGCTAAGAAATCCTGATTCAGAGATGGAGGTCTACAAAGTGACAGAATATTTAATAGAGGCGGCGGGGTGATGAGCAGAGGTATTCTATTTATCTCTGTAATTATCAGCTATGTGAAGAGATGAAGAGAACCTTGATCTTTCAGATGAACTGAAATACAACGTGTTAGAGGGATGTAATTAGTAGTCTCCAATTTCACAAACAGGTGGCAGGGAAAATCTGGCATCTTTACAGACCTTACCTGTGAAGGCCAAATTTTGTTTTGGGGATGTCCACATTTTGCAAAAAGAAACCAGACTAATTTTCATATCTACTATGTATCGCATTAAAAATAAGTCTGTGCAATGCTGTGTGCTTGTATTTCTTACACCTTGAGAAATTAATATAAATTGCTTGTTGAATGAGCTCACTAGCAATAAAATGAAAGATCATGGCCTTCATATTTCTGTGAAGGAACACACATGGAACCAAATTCAGAAATCACAATTTATGGTAGTATAAATTATGGCTTCTGGGCTTGTTTCACTGGTATTGTAGAGTGACATGTATGTTGCTTCTGTGAAGACTTATGCCAACTAATGTGCCCTCAGGTGAGTCATAGCCAGCCTCAGTGTATGTGCCTGCCTTGCTTTTCTCTCTGTTAGTTCAATCAGCAAAGAATAATTTTCAACTGCAATCATAACTTCTTTACTTAGGATAATAACCAACTGACAAGTAAAGGCCAAGCAACTCCAGACACTACCCTCAAAGATGCATTTAATCATACATACCACAGTCATTGCTTAGCCATTCATAAAACTATTATAGACTTCGGGATACTGGAAGCACCCACTTTACCAACTGTTATTCAGAAGATATTGCCTTACAATGTAAGTCCACAAAGGTACAGATAATCTCATTGCAGAAAGGGAGAGAGACATGGTTATTGCATACCTTAGGTCTTCGCTAGCTAGGCCAGTGTATGAGATGTATTTTTAGTGTTAGCTTATGTACCAATGTGTTGCAATATCTGTAACCTCGCAAGAAAGAAAAAAACTACCAAAAAAAAAAAAGAAAGAAACTCCAATTTATACCTAATGCCAAAATTGGACTAGAGCTTTTACTTCAGAACAGGCAAGTGCCAATTTGTTGCACTGTCCTATCCCACACTCAACAAAAAAACTCCCTTACTTAAGGGTCTCCCTGTCCACCTTTCATAAGCACATTTAGGAAATTAAGGACGTGGAAACAAACTACCTCAGTTCCCCCTTCAATAAAACAAGTGCAGGGGATTCCTTAGTTTAGCAATTTCTACTTGACTAAAGCATGCTTGTGTTGTAGCTAGATCAATCTTTTCTAAAAAGCAGTCTTCAGCTGAATTCACCAAGACACAAAACACTTTGTAGTTCGTTCCAGTGATTATCACCTCTCTGTAAAAAGCAGTGTATAACTAGTTTTCTACTCTAATTGTTTTCCTTCACATTCCAGCTTTGATTCTTGTTTAGAGCTCACTAGTTTATTTTTATTAGTCTATGTATATGTACAGTAATTACCTCATATGCTTATCATCTGTGATAAAGTTTGACTTCTCTTTTCTGAGGCTTTGTTTCCAGCCTTATCCTTGCTATTTACTTAAAATATACTCCTTCAGATGTAGCTATAATTAGATAAAATTTCAGTATCAATCTTGTATGCTTATTTTAAACTGTACCCTGATATCTTTGCAATTACAGAATCACAGAATCATAGAATTGTTGAATCTGGAAGAGACCTCTGGAGATCATCTAGTCCTCTGCTCAAGCAGGGTCACCTAGAGCATGTTACACAGAATCACATTCAGGTAGGTTTTGAGTATCTCCAAAGAAGGAGACTCCATAACCACTCTGGGCTGCCTGTTCCAGTGTTCTGTCACCCAAACCATAAAGAAGTTCTCCTTCATATGGCGATGAAACCTCCCCTGGTTCAATTTATTTTTTATTTTTTTATTTTTCATTTTTTATTCCTTAGTCTTCCTTTTGCTGCTGCTGTATTTGAAGAAGCCCTTCTTGTTATGCCTGATGTCTCTCACTAAATTTAATTCTAACCGGGCCTTGGCATTCCTCATTGCATCTCTGCATTCTCTGACAATGTTCCTATACTCCACCCAAGTGGTCTGCCCCGTCTTCCACATCATGTACACTTTCTTCTTCTGTTCAAGTTTTCTCAAAAACTCCTTGCCCACCCCCTTGCTCAACTTCTTTCTCATCGGGATGCACCAATCCTGAGCTTGGAAGAAGTGGTGCTTGAATATTAGCCAACTCTCCTGGACCCTCCTTAACTCTAGGGCCATGGCCCAGGGGATTCCTCTATTTAGGTCCCTGAAGAGGTCAAAGTTATCTCTCTTGAAACCCAGGGTTGCAGTCCTATTCTTGCCCTGCTTCCTCCTCTCAGGATCTTGAACTCCATCTCATGATCACTGCAGCGAAGGCTGCCCTAAACCTTAATGTTTCCAACTAGACCATCTCTGTTTGTTAGTACCAGGTCTAGCAGCGCCCCTCTCCTTGTTGGCTACCACCTGCATCAAGAAGTTATCCTCAGTGTTCTGCGGTAACCTCTTAGACTGTTTCTTCTGAGCTGTGTTGTCTTCCCAGCAAACACTGGGGTAGTTAAAGTTCCCCATAAGAATCAAGACCTGCAAACACGAGGCAACTTGCCCGTAGAAGGCCTAACCCACTTCCTCTTCCTGATCCAATGGCCTGTAGTAAACACCCACCACAATGGCACCCCTGCTGGACTGCCCCTTAATCCTCACCCATAGGCTCTCAACCCATACTTCGTCCTCCCCTAGGCAGCGCTCCATACATTCCAGTTGCTCACTCACATAAAGAGCAATTCCACCACCTCACCTTCCTGACTTGTTGAAGGGACAGAATTGTGAAGACACAGACTCCTGATGGCTCTTGAACAGGAGACATTTATTGCCCTTTTTCACTACTACATATACTTTCCCCTCAAGCCAGCCAGGAATTAGCTACTGCCCAAAGCTCATCTTTAACACTAGCCAATTTACTTCATCTCAACCTTGCTCAAGTTTTTGTGTCTACCGCTTGTTTCCTCGTTATCTCTAATCCAGGAACATGTGCAACAGCACAAAGCCACCTGTGAATTCCTTTCCCACAGCCTGTCCTTTCTAAAAAGCACAAAGCCATGGCCACATTCCAGTCATGAGAGCTATCCCACCATGTCTCAGTAACTGCAAGGAGATCATAGCCCTTCAACCTTCCACACACCTCCAGTTCCCCTTGTTTATTTCCTATGTTGCATGTATTTACATACAGGCATCTAAGTTGGGCTCCCAAGGTATCTGCCTTTCTAGATTGGGCAGCTGTAGCTCATCCATGTTACTGTAATATGAACAGCTCCACCTACAGTGCTTAAAAAAAAAAAAAAAAAAAAAAAAAAAAAAAAAAAAAGTGTCTTTCAAATCTGCAAAGCTAGCATGGCTTTTGAAAGGTTTATGTAGAAAAACTTTCTTATGTAATGACTAAGTGCAGAAAATACATGAGTATAATTTAATAGCCATCTCTTTAGAACTCTTTCCACAAATACACAGAACTGAAGGAATAAATATTTCGGAAGATACGAATCATGGCTACAGTCAGAAAAAGCATACAATATAAGACAGAAGCAAGAGGTGACCAGCTTATACAATGAGTATTTTAGCAAACGTTTACCATGCATAGGACTGCACGTCCCTATATAGCCACTGAATTTGACTCACAACTAGATGGGCGGATGTTTAAGCAACTCACAGTGAGGATAGTCATCAAAAAAACTTCCAGTGATTGCACTAAATCTCCATGAATCACACTGGGGAAAATGTGTTGACATAATTATATGTATACATACAGTTCACTTGCCAGATAATGCAGACTTTCTGAGAGAGCCATATGAGGCATGTGTTAACATTTACTAGAGATGAGGCAATTTAAATTCCTGGTCCTTTACTAATCATTCAACTCCACTTGAAAAATAAAAAGTAACAGCTACACTTGAACAGTAATGTTACATGCTGGGAAGTGCTTTATTGCAGCTTGTAAAATTACCTTTGAGAGAGCAGAGTCTAAATGCAGACAATAACAGAGCCATGGATTTAAAGCATACTTTTATTTGGAAAGTAGCTCTAAAAATGGCATCTCACAGAGGTTCTATGTTCATTATGTCCCAACTACTCCAACTCAGTTTTGCTTAAGTGTCAAGCAAAAAGATGTTTTCTTTACAGTTCCAAGCTCTGTAAACTCACCCTTATAACTGCCTTGACAGCAAGACAACCTGTGCTGCTTGCTGTTAACATATCAGTGCCACTTCCACTGACCCAGTGGGAAAGCTGAATTATATGTAAGTGTAAATAGGCACAGAAATTTATGAAGCATCTTTTGTTTTTAACTCTGTCACTATCCTGTGTCCAAAATCAATCTGGAGCCTAGAGAAGAGAAGAAAGGAGGTGACAGAGAAGAGGCTGTCATCATCAGTCAGCACAAAGAAAAGTCATGAGAAGTGCTCAGTGAAAGATGACAAACTAGATGGGGGGGGATAGTTAGAGAAACCAGGGATGAGGCAGGCCCACATCTGAGTATATCAATGTCAGGCTGAAGCTGCAGACAAAAGATTGTTGCTGGATGGGGAAAGAAATGCTGAAGATGACACAGTAAAATCACACAGGAAACAACAGAAGATGAGAAGCAAGAGTATCTGGGCTACTGATAAACAACCA